AGGCGCCCCTCATGGATAGGTTTTTGTGAGAATATAATTTTCAGCCCTCTAGGGTAAAATACCCAGGAGTGGGATTGCTGAGTAGTGGTAACAGTGCATTTAACTTTAGACTGTTAATATGGTGAATTGCACTTGATCATGGTAGAATATCCTTTTTATATATTGCTGGATTTGACTTTCTAAGACTTTGTTGAAGAGTTTCTGTGTCTCTTCATGAGGGATATTGATCTGCAATTTTCTTTCTTTCTTTCTTTTTGGTATCATCTTTGTGAGATACAGATTAAAGCAGTGTTTAGAGGGAAACTACAGCATTATGAAATGCTAGAAAAGAAGAAAGTATTCAAATCAATAATCTAAGCTTCCATCTTAAGAAAGTAGAAAAAAGAGGCCAAAATAAACATAAAACAAGTAGAAAACAAGAAAGAAAAATAAAAACAGAAATCAATGAAACAATAGGATCTGTTTGGTATCAGGTTAACATTGGCCTCATAAATTGAGTTGGAAAACATTCCATCCACTTTCATTTTCTGGAAGAGATTGTATAGAACTGGTCTAATTTCTTTAAATGTTTGATAGAATTAACGGTGAAATCATCTGAGCCTTGAGATTTCTCCTTCAGAAGATTTAAACCACAAATCCAGTGTCTTTAAGAGTTACAGAACTATTCAAGGTTATCTATTTTATCTTGGTGAGTTTTGGTAGTTTGGGCTTTTCAAGGAAAATGATACAGTTCTTCAAAGTTGTTGAATTTACGTGCATAGAGTTGTTTGTAGTATTCCCTGATGATTTTTTTTATTGTCTGTGGGATTTATAGCAATATCTTCTTTCATTCTTAGTACGGGTAATTCGTGTCTTCTCTCTCTCTCTCCCCTTTCTCTCTCTCTCATTTCATCTTGCTAGAAGCCTATCAATTTTAATGATATTTGCAAAGAACCAACTTTTGGCTTTTTAAAATTTTCTCCATTGTTTTTCTGTTTTCAATTTCATTGATTTTTGCTCTTTATTGCTTCCTTCTCTCCCATTGCTGCCATTAAGGGATTGCTTGGGGACTGGGGTATGAGGGAACAGAGAAAAGAAAAAAAAAGAAATGATGGCTTTTTGCACTCTTTCTGAGAATTAGGAGTCTCTTTCTCCAGTCCTTGAGCACTCCTAGTGCTCTCCCAGCCTGCTCTCTGGAGGCCACTTCCAGTTTTCTGGCTGCATCAAGTTCAGGATGGGGGCGAACAGAGGGAAAAAATGGTAAGCTCACCACCAGTTCTGTGGTACTCCGATTCCTGCTCTTCTTCCCCAGTGTACTTGCTACTACTTACTTTTCAGAGTCTTCATCCATCCTGTCCAGGTTTTATAGCTGCAGTCGTCAGAACCACCAGGTGGAGTGTGTTTCTTCCATCTGATCCAGACTGAAACTTTACCCCCACATTCTTTGAGCTGATTCAGAAAGGGTTTGGGGACCTCCTATGTGGGGCCATCCTATCTTCTACCCCCACCACTGCTCCATCTCCCTGGGCTTCCTTTGCAGCGCGACTGCCCTGACACCCACCCATCCTCTTGGGTTCCCGGGGATTGTCTGCAGCTGAGGTTGAGGCAACTTGCATGATTGGCGCATCCAGGACCAGACACATCTTGGACAGCAAAGGAGCATTTCTTTCTTCCAAGATCAATTCCTACTACATGAAAATTAGTAGTTCATTCCAGAGGAGATTCTTAGCGATTCGTAGGTCTTGGGGCATCCTGTTCAAACGTGGTTCCGTTGGTCCTGGTGGCTTACAGTTGATTTCATAAAGTTCTCTTCCTGGCCAGACTGATGGTTCCTAAGATGACTGGATTCTTCTTATAAACTTACTCAAAAGGGAAGCAAGCCTACCTCTTCCCCAGGTTCCTGCACATTCCTTGTGGTCTTTTTTTATGGTAGGTGATTTGTTCCAAGAAGGCACAGTCTACCGGAGCTGGGCATCCCCATCATCCTCACAGAGTTGCACAGCAATTCTCCTGGTGCAGTTGGAGAGAAATGTCCCAGTTGCAATACCCTGGCAGGCCTGATGGAGAGGAAGCCTGATGCTAAATGAGAAACCCAACCTTGTCCTCCAGGCCTGCCCGAACTGAAGTTGCCGAGCAAGTCCAGGGCCTGTCTTTTTAATATATTTTGAAATTAAAGTCAACATGGAAATGGGGTGGGTGGATGGGTGGGTGGCTCCAACGAAATGGTCATTGTGCACCAGGCTGGTTATCTCACTGGTTGTTAGATAATAAAAGAGGATCAGATAAACACAGGCATAACCTCTGCCTCCATTGATAATGTAAATCATCCCTTGTATCGTTTGTCTTTGCTTCAGACTGGATACAAAAGGCACAGAAATGAACAATTCATGCCTAAACACGGGAGAGCTTGAAAGCTAGTATATGTCAGATGTTTACTCTAGGTCATCATTAAGGGCTTGAGTGGATTTGCCTATAAACACAGGCTATTCTGTCGGGGGGGAGTGAGAGAGACAAACTGTCCTGTCGTGTGGAGACAGCTCTTTTAAAGACACACTGCAACTTTTCTGCCACGCACAGTAAGTTATATAGATAATTCTTTTTATAGGAGATGAAATGTTGTCTCCTGAGCAATGCAAAGCCTAATGTGTTACAGAAACAATGCTTTCTCTCTCCACTTTGTGCAAATGTCATTTTTCATTATCCACCGAAGAAGAGCTTGCTGGAGAATGAAATGAGAGCAACAGCGTCACCCCTTCTGCAGCTGGTCAGGCACTTCCTGACACAGACTCAGCACAGACCTGCCCTCCAGCCACGGCAGTTCTCCCCGGGCAGCCTCCCCCATGGGGGAAGTGCAGAGCGCTGAGTCCTGGAAAGATGTCGAAGCTTTCCAGGGTATCCCTTCCCACTGCCCTCACTCTCTGCTGAAGGGTTTGTGGGTGGCGGTGGTGACTGTCGTTCCTGCCCGGTCCAACCAAAGGCAGCTAAAGAAAAAGTGCCAAGACAAACAGAACGAGAGCCTTGGGGACCCGGTAATGGGTACAGAGCATAGAGTCTGGTAATCATTCTTTTGATTTGTGCTCAGATATGTTTTCTATTTGCTTTCGCACAGAATGCACATTGTCCCCCTGGATTGCAAATAATCGGAACCAGGGTAAAACCGTCACAGAGTGGCCTTCAAACATCATGTCTGTATTGGAACTGAATGACTGATCAGACACTTAAATATGGAAACTGGGGATTCGGGTAAATTGCACTGATACGGTTTTTAAGAACACACTCGGACTTGTTTAAATAATCTCTGCTTTCTTGGGTCTCTCTCTCTCTCTCTCCCCCTCTTTCTCTCAAGAGTTCTGCATTTTTTTCCTTCTAATTTTGCTCCCATTTGTTCCAATTTTAGTGTCATTCAATGATGTGGTTGCACCTAAGTTATTTTTACATCATTCCTAACAGATAGAACAAGGAAAAGAAGATGAGATTGCATTATCAACATTCCCAATGTCTGGTCCCTCTGCCCTTCTTCCAGGGTCAATTTCTTGAGCTAATCCGCATCTTCTTACATTTTTATCAGGGTCTCCTGACAAGCCTCTTTGGAAGTCAAAGACAGGCAAAGAAATAAGCACACACTGAATGACTGAATGACCGACAGGGCTGCATGTCCTGCATACCCCCTCCCCCAGGAGATTGGGCGGGGGGAACTGGTGTAGGAACCAGGGTGCTCACACCATGCTGGGTGAGGCTCCTGTCTGGTAGGGCCCCTGACAGCAGTCAGGCAAAGGAATCCTACCATGGGGCTCTAGTCCCACATTAATGTCAAGCACTGTGTTTTCTTTTAGTTACTCAAGGATCAAAGGGAAATTATTCAATAAAAAGGAACTTAAAGGGGACTTCTCGGCCTACACAAACCTTAATCAAAAACACTTGTTCAAATGCAGCTTCCTTGACCTGCCTTTTCATATCGTCTTTCCAGTTCATATACACATTTGTGATTAAAATAAGGATTTTCTCCATCACAATTCAGCACCCCCTTGCCTCTCAGCTGACCAGACTTTCACAAGGGTGACGTGACAGTTTGTTGCTAAGGAACTGAAGATATATGTCACAACTCAGTGTTCTGATGAAGAAGAGTAAATTCTTTTCAACAGATTGAATATTAAGTATAAAGAAGCCGTGTGTGTGCGCGCGCGCACATGCACGTGCATGTATGTGTGTGTACGTGCGGTATTAGAACTGACAACAGCCAGAAGGTTTCACACAAGCGCATTACTGTCTCAAATGTGGATGATCAGCCACCTGCTCTGTAAAAGCTACTCTTTAATAACCCTCCATCGCCTCACTTGTAAGAATACCGTCATGCGTTTGAACTTTTCACTCCAGCTTGTTTGGCTCCCCTCTGTTCAATGCCTGTTCCCTCACACTGTCGTGTCAGGGATTTATCACACTGTGACCTCGAGTCACTGTTCTCTCTTAAAAGGAGTCAAGCACAAACTTCCCAAGTCTCTAATATTCTAGGTGTTCGGCAGGGAGACTGGAACATGAAATTCCTCCCACATGAAGTCCACCCACATCAGTGTTTTTCGAAAATCTACTCCTCTTAGTCACGACCTATGAATACGAATAGAACTCGGCTAATGTTTCCCATATCCCATGCGCCTGAACACTGGGGAAGGTTAGAAATTATATAGTTTGCGATTTCCAGGGAGAAGTGCAATAACTTCACAGTTTTTTTTAAATAGAATTCTTTAAGAAGCAGAACATTTAAAATGTGCCCTTCTTCTTTTGCAGCATGAAAAAAGATCTCTGCCTCTCAATGTGGTTTGCCTGCTATCATGTTGCTGATTCTGTGATCTTTAGATAAAGAAAAATGGGAAAATCTCACAGCAGGTAATGCCACAAACAAATGGTATGCATACAATAATAGATAAGTACACACCGTGAATTGAAGAGGAAATGGATATATGTAGAAAAGGAAACAGTGATCCTTTGAAAATTTAAGATAAGAGCTTAATTACTTATAAAACTACAGGACGATGTGACCTGAATTTCACGGAAGAGAAGTAAACATCGTGGTCAAATCCTTGGGTACTAGGCCATCATTTTGCTTGAATTCTCTCTCTATGCAGTAGGGGGCTAATTCGGAGTAATGCATGTTTACTCTGCCTAATTGAGGAGGTTGGATGCTAATGAGTTTTCTGAACACTGCAGAAAAGAATGTTGCATGTGAAAGGAAACCAAAGGGTACATGGAAATGTAAAAAAAAAAAAAAAAAAGTCACCAAAGGATACATGGAAATGAAAAAAAAAATGTCCTGGGAACATGGGAAAGTTCACTTTGGTAGACTGGGAGAAGTCCAAACAAAATAGGTTTTAGAAAGAGGTAATGTGGTTAAAAGACACTCACTCACCCTGGCTGGAACAGAACTATAAACAGAGTTTGACCGTGACCTCCCATAAATGATACAGGCATGTGTTGACAAGCAAACAGAGCATGTCACTTGATTCTGCCCATTATTTATGCTACCCTGTGATTTCCTTCTGTGCCCCTTGGGGTTTTCTCCCAACCACCCCAAAAGTTCAAACTCTACACACATTCTGAGACTAAAAAGTAGGAAGTACGTCTACATTGAAATACCTAATCAGAAATGTGTAACTGAAGACAAACCTCTGATTAGTACCAATATAGATTCGGTTTAAGGTGATTAGGGCCATTTAGTCTCAAGATGAGAACATGTAGGAGCCTTAACATATGCTGGATCCCTTCTGCCCTGGACTCTGTCAAGGGGCAAGCCAAAAAAAAAAAAAAAAAAAGGAGGAAGGATGAGGCTCTGCCCTTGGGAAATTATGATATGATAGCAAAATTGTATCACAGAGACACACAGGACAGCATAAGCCAAGGGTTCTAAGAGTGGTTTTGGCCCGATGTACTCCCTCTGAGAGGGAGATACCTGTCCTGATAACTAAAGGATATGGAGGTGGAGGGGAAAGGAAAGGGCATCCTTGGGCTAGGGAATCATCCACGGAAAGGCAAGCAGGCTGAAGTAGCCCTGAGATGACCTTGAATATTCTGGTTATCTGTTGGTGTGTAACAAACTATCTCAAAATTGGATAGTTTAAAACAAACATTTTATTTCATTCATAATATTTGTGTCTCAATAATTCAGGAAGAGCTCAGCTGCATGGTTTATCTCTGATCTCCATGGTGTCAACTGGGGCTAGATGATCCATCTTTAAGATGGCTTCTTCCCTCTTCGGTCTGGCACTTGGAAGTCCCTGGCTGCCTCTCTCTCTACCATCTCGAGACCTCACCTCATCTTGGGCTCCTCACAGCATGGCAGGCTCAAGGTAATAGAATTTCTTACAATAGCCGCTCAGGGTTCCAAGAGAGTGTCCCCAGGGTCACAGCTGGAAGTTCCAAGGCTTCTTATGACCTAACCTTGGAACATCCAGACATCACTTCTACCGCATTCTACTGGTCAAGCAGGCCACAAAGGCAGCCCATATTCAAGTGAACGGGATTAGACTCCATCTTTCAAAGAGAAAAATCACAACTGATTTGTAGCCAGTTTTAACCAACCTCAGAAAGTAATGAATAAAGCAGAATGGTTTAAGTAAATGGCCAATGCCAGAGAGCAGGAGTAAGCACCAGAGCGCAAGGCAGAGAATGAGTACAGAGGGCTTTGAAGGTAAGAGATCTGAACATGCAAATAATAACACCCTTTCTCCTGATATATCCTCTCTTGTGGAACTATGTTTGGCCACACAAAAGAGGGCACCATGATTTTCTAGAGTTCCCAGGCACTGGACTAGGTGAGTGAAGGAAACAGAAATTTCCCATCTAAATCTCTCCAAAAGGATACTCTCCGGTCAGGGCATATGTGGTTGTGAAGAATATAAACTCTTTCAAGCCAGCTTAAGAAAAATGAGGACCTATTCAGAAGCACAGCAGGCAAGCAATAAGAGCATCCCAGGACAAGAGATGGGGTAACTGGGCCACAAGAAATGCTACAAGACGGACGCTGCAAACCCCAGAGCCAGGATGACCCTCTTCACCCCTGATAGGGGCCTGGGGTCCCCCATCTCTGTGCCAGCTTCGATCTCTTTCTTGTCTTCCCAGATGAGCTTTCCCTGCTGACTCATCAGAGTACCCATGGCCAAAAATCGCTGCTCCAGGTCCACGTGGCCTTGGATCCCTACATGGCCTATAAGCCTCCGATTCCTACCACTCAACATTATCTGATTACAGATTAGTTCATCTCTTAACTTGAATTCTGGAGGGGCCTCTTGTTAGATTAGACCAGCCTATGGATTGGTCCCCTTTGAGTCAAACAACTACTCTTAGTGCAATCAAGTAGGGCGGGAAAACAGGTTTAGGTGTCTAATAAAAATGTAACATAAAAGCATGGTCATCTAGTCTGTCCCTGCACCTGCCCCCACAATCAGTGAGAGAGCATGGGGGGAGAGAGTCAAGGAAAAAGGTGCAGGAAGGCTAAGCAGCAAGTAAGGAGGATCATGTGGGAAAGAGGCCAGCCCAGAGCTGGGAAATGGGACGAGGACAGAATAACTTGGTCCCCAAGCCATTCATGCATATCTAAAACCTTTCCCTGGTGGAGGCAAACCCATTTCCTATTGACCTTGCCCTGGCAGCCTTGATGCATGAAGCAGTAAAGTAATGGACAGTAATGGATAGTATCGAAGAAGGCCCTTTCTTATCTGGCTCTCACAGAGGATTTTAATGCTTATAATAGTATTGGGGTATTAGCCCTCTCTTCCTATATTATTTTCCCGCATACATATCTATACCAAGCCATAAGGACAATAAGCATAAGCTCTTTAATTTTGTCAATAGAAATTATTAATTAAAAAACTGAGTAAGAGGGGCGCCTGGGTGGCTCAGTCGTTAAGCGTCTGCCTTCGGCTCAGGTCATGATCCCAGGGTCCTGGGATCGAGCCCCGCATCGGGCTCCCTGCTCAGCGGGAAGCCTGCTTCTCCCTCTCCCACTCCCCCTGCTTGTGTTCCCTCTCTCGCTGTGTCTCTGTCAAATAAATAAAATCTTAAAAAAAATTAATAAAAAAAAACTGAGTAAGAAAACAAATCCCCACTGGAGAAAAGTATTAATACTTTTAATATCATACTGTCATAGAAAAATGCAAATCGGGATTTTCCTTTTCCCTAATAACCAGACATAATACAGGATAAAAGTTTAAATTGATAAGAGCTCTTTCAACGCTGGAGAAAGGTATTGACCTTCTCGCAGTAAAGGTAAGTGTGAAGTACATTAAAATCACCATTTTCTCAGTAATCAAGTTTACCTCTACAATAACTTTGGACTATGACACTCCTTCAGAAATGCTGTCTGCTCAAAATTCTCCAAACAGCAACCCTGAATGGAATTCTGCTGGGGTAGGAGAATCGTGGCTGGGCAGTCAAAATCAATTTGTTCCTGTGATTGACACGAGGGCCTGCATGTCAGCCAAGCTTTCTCAAACCATCTGTGCTCTGATTATGATCAATAGGTATTCACGATATGCCCAGGAAATGTGCTGTTTGATTACTTTTACATGGGAGAGAAGACAAAACATCTCAACCTAGAGTCTCTTAATGTGGATGTAGAAGGTGGGTGATGAATTATTAGAATATAGAGTTTGCACTGATAAACTTTTGAACTTTCATTGAACTTGTAGATTAAGAATAGGCAGTTTTTCCAAGAGGAAAATTCACCAGACAACCAACAATTTTTCTTTCACATATTTAAGGGAGATGTTCGATCTGGTAAGGAAATAATAGTAATTTATGTCTTTGATAATTGAGAAGGATTATAGTTCTATACACAGAAAAAGCAACCATCACCCGGGCCCTGTGAGTCACAAAGCCATTAAAGAAGAAGCTTCCAGCTTAACAGCAGATGAAACCTCAGGATTTGGAGCATGATGTTCTCCAAGAGGGAGTTGAGAAAAGGAAAAAGAAATCCCCATCTACTTGTAAAATTAGGGCTCCCTCTCTGCCTTCCTTCCAAACAACCATAATGACACTTTTCGAATTCAGCTTGATCTCCTGCACTAAAAGAAACACACACACACACACACACACACACACACACACACACACACACACAGAGCCATTTCTCTGCATGCATAGCTCCCTTGCATACACTGAAATGCACACATATAACAGACCCACAATGACCCTCAATGGGAGGCAACCGTCCAAACGTAAGCAAGGAAGCTGCCTCCTTCAATCTGCTGAGACCCATCATTCTCCAAACATCATTTGTCCCGTAATCTGTAGGAACAGCCTGGAGCAGATGAAAGATTAAGAAGGAAGATTGCTGACCAGCTGGAAACATGTGTTTGGTACATTCAACTCACAATAAGAAATTATTTTACTGATAAAATAGTGTCAGCTGAGATCAGGTTCCTAAGAGATGGGAATTACTAATTTTGCTACAATGACACTGAACAGCTTGTATTAAAAATACACACTGGCTGTGTGTAGTGATTCTTTGGCTTGTTCAGTACAATGCACCAAAGACTTCAAGTAAATGCTGGCCACTCTCCAGTTCAGTTGCCCTTATTAATAATAGATCCTATCACCTTCCTTCCCCAGATCTCCTCACTATAATGTTTTTGCTTCCCTGGAATTCAATTTGAGTCAATCCTACCACTACTTTTAGCATGCAACTTGCTGGATGCTCAGAAGAAGGACACGATCTTATCACAAGAGGCTAATAGCTGGTGTTGATAAAGAACCACGGGTGTTATAATGCAAGGCTGGGAAACAGCCAACAAGAATGAGAAACACAGTCTCAAAGCAAAGTCTAAAGATGGAGCCAGAAGCTCCATTTGGGGGGTTCAGAGTGCCTATTTCATTTGCAGGAAAGAGACTTATGCAAGTTTTCTCAAGTCATGGGGGTTAGATGTTATTAAAAAAAAAAACAAAACCCAGACCTGGCATGGAAAAGCCCATCAGGAGCTTGGGCAGGTCTAGGGACTCATTATTCTATCTCTTTGTCTTATGGCATCTTTACCTTGCCTGCTGGTCTCTTCTGTCCTCCTATCTCTACTGACTTGGCTTACTCCAAGTTTCTGTTTCCTTACAACTATGGTTTGCACATGACTGCTCATGACCTTGACTCTACCTCCCGGTGCTTAGTTTTAGCACACACTGCTAACTGTCTTATTGGAATTTCTAAAGAGGAGAGAGAGAATTTAGTTGTCTCTACTCACATTTCATGTGGACATACTCTGGGTTAGTGGTCAGCCACTAGATGGATTACTTTAGTGCTGATGACCCAACCACAGGCCGGTTCTCTAAGGACCGGGTCTGGGGGTATAAATAGAGCTGTCCCTTCAGCAGGGGCAGTTCAATTTATAAAAGGCTTGGTCGGCATTCTAAAGGTTGATCTGCCTGGTCCAAGGGATAAGTGGGAAAGGTTCTGTGGAGGAGGTTACATTTGAGATGATCATAAAAGGATCCTGTGAATGGACAGGCAAAGATGGAGTAAACATGGAGGTGATTCCATAGGCAAAAGCCAAAAACAGGAAAGTAGGGAGTATGTGAATATTTTGTTTGGCTAGAGCAGTGCTTCTCATATTTTTCTGTGCATGTGAATCACCTGAGGATCTTTTTTTAAATGCAGATTCCTATTTTCCTATTCAATAAACCTGAGGTGGGACCTGAGATGCTGAATCTCTAAGTTCCCAGGGGATGCTAATGTGCTGGTAGAGACTTAAGAATAGTAGGGCTAGAGAAAGGAATATGCCAAAGCCTTAACTGGTACCCACTCCACTTCCAGCAGTAAGCAGCTCTGAAGGATGTGGGACAGAAGAATGACATAATCAGAGTGGTGTTAAAGAGCAGTTGATTTGGCAATGCTTTGTGTGATAAATCGGAGGAGAACCGGAAGATCAGCTCTTTAACAATTGTAAAGACGAGGAAAGAGGTATTAAGGACTCAATTAGGATGACTTCTCTGGAAGGGGACAGGAAGGGATATATAAGATAAGATATATAGCCAATTGAACATGCCCTTCCCAGTGTCCTTACCCAGTCTTGCCTTACTTAACAAGAGAAGTCACTTCCTCAGGCGTCATCTGGTCACATCTTTCCATGTCCTTTGCAGGGTGTCTGCTTTTCATTTCAGATCACATCTAAAGATACACACTCTCTTTTACCTCTAACCCTTAATTTCATTCTCCCTGCCTAACTGCATTTTTTATTGTGTGCAACTTGCCACATGATTTAACTATATTATAACCACATAACTATGTTATTCCGCTATTATTTCATTGTGTACCAGTAACCAAATTCAGTAACTATATTTGTTCTGCTGAGGAGTTTTGTAGAAAGCTTATCTGAAGGGCACTAGGCAATGAAGTAAAGTCTATTACCGCCTTATCACCATCAAGAAAATGATCTGTTTGTTTGCAGTTCACTGAAGTACATAGCCAAAGAAATTGAAAGAGAGTATAGGGAGGGCTTGAGTGAAGTCCAGAGATGGAGATGGATGGATACTCTAAACACTAGGCTTTGGTTCAAGATGCCCAAAAACAGCTGTGACAATATGCAGTAGGGAAGTTGCCAGATCGTGTATTGACAGGAAAGGAGAGATAAGGTGACAAACCTTATATTAGAATTCAGAACCTCTGTTATTATGCAGCATACCTAGTCCCTACTATACATTTAGAACCAAGGGAAAGATAAACTTGATGTTAAATACAAATCCCACCTGAAATTTTCTTAAGGCTAAAGGCTTCATAATATCCTGAGATTAAGGCTATAAAGAAGAAATCTGTGCTTACCTATTGGATCGTTCGTGCCATTTTGAGGTCAAATTCTGAATACTGAACTTCGGTTTTCTGGTTGAACATTTGAGGTCCCTGTGCATTAAATAATTTACACACCAAGCAGGACTTTAAATCCATTCCTTTTCCTCCTACTGGGATGGGATTTTGTGCACACATGTGCACTTACATCTCAAAAACCAAGCAGTTGTTGCTGATCAAAAAACAAAACAAAACAAATTTTCCTGTGCTTATAGAAAGAAAGAAGGAAAGAAACAAGGGAAGGAAGGAAGGAAGGAAGAAGGGGAGGAAGGAAGAAAAAGAATTGTTCAGTCCAGGATATTAGAACTATTTTGATTGCACAAGAACATAATCAGAGTCAGGAACACAATGGAGGAAGTATTCCCAAAGGAAATCAAGATTAAAATGCACACTTGGCCTCCTCCTACAAATGCCAACCTCCCAAGCCCACAGGTCATTTTGTTTGACAATGTCACATCGATTCACATTTCACAACGTGCTCTTAACTTTAGAATCTTAATGTGCCGGATGGAATTAGCTGTGTCTTTTGAGTAGAGCCTAATCCTGACCATGTCCATTTTTGGAGAGACCTCCTAGTTGGTTGGAGGCATTGGCAAGATGCCTTGTCATTTTGGACTGTTAGGTGAGCTAATAAGCTTCTATCTTGTTTTCAAACATATTCACACAAACATACAGATACACATGCATGTGTACATGTATGTGTATACAAATACATACAGACATGAACTGAACAGAAACATTATATATATATATATCTCCTTACAAGGCAATGGGAAGCCACACTTTGAAGAGGACATGGATCTGAGGAAAAAAAAATCCACATTCTCTAACAACTGTGGTAATTGTTTCACTAGGTATATGTATATCAAAGCATCATGTTGTACACCTTAAATATATGTAATTTTTACTTAAAAAAATAAAATAATAACAAATAAGAAATACGGAAGTGAGACTTCCTATAATCAGTGAAGGTGATGGTAATGGGTCAAACTCTCTGACCCCATTTCAGAAGTAAAATGAGGTTTGGGCCACTAGCAAACGGCAGGGAATGAAGAGGAAGAGGCTTCTGAAGACCGGTATGAACCCGTGTGGGCCCCTGGGAAGGAGAAGGAACAGACACGCTGGACCTACTTCCTTTCCTCAGCTCCACTCCATGCTGGGGCTTCGGACTGTGGACACATTTCTGAATGTTCTGGTGGTGGCTGTGGGTGGGGAGGAGTAGAGCAAGGAGTCAGCCTGCCATGCTGACAACTTGTGCTGTCTCAAAGGCAGTATTTCCAGAGGGAATGATACAAATCCTTCTTTCTGCTTCTCTCTGTTTCAGTTCCTTGCCTAGTCCCACTTGCCCAGAAAGAAGAACCACCTTCACCATAAGTAACATCCCTTCCCAGAGAGGTCATGGTCTATGGTCACACAGCCATAAAAAGGCTGCAACAAAGAAATCCAGCTGCTTTGGCTGCAGACTGCTGTAGGCTCTTTCCTCCCGGCCTTGTGAACAGAGCTTCACTTAGCGTTTGTGGCTGCCCAGTGGGCCCTGCCTCCAGGCTGCAGGATGGCTACTGGGTTCAAGCCTCATCTGGCACTTCCATGCCGATGTCACATCCTGCCACTCTCTGTAGTCACCCTCCAGGCGGTCATCACAGAACCTATTCCTTGGTCCCAGCATCATTCACAACCACCCATTGCTTCACAAGGGACAGGGGAGCTGAGGTTCCGGGGCCCAAGTGTAGAAGCAAATTAGAGTGTTTTTAATGTTACAAGAATGGTAGCAAAAACTCCTGGAGGACAAGAGTTGCATTAATCAGCAAACATGTATTATGAACAATCCCTAAAAAAAAAGGTACTATAAAAGAGTAATGATGATAAAAACACGTGTGTGTGAACGGGGTGGAGTTTAGGGGTGGCTTCATGGAGCGCTGGGGTGTGTGGGAGCCACTCTTTCCCAACAGATGTGAGTTGGTGAAATGAAAATCTGGAGAACACACTTACAATGCACCCAGCAGGAAAGCCACAATGAGGAGCCCAGCTGGGGAAGAACCCCATGGAGGGCAGGAGAGCCGAACCGCACGAAAATGGCTTCCCTCCCGGAAACACTTGACTTCAGAGCCAGCCATTATTCCGCCAAAGTCCGCACGGAGAGAATCCGGCTGTCAAGCTGGGGAGGTCCTTACCCCTCCAGAGACCAAAGCAAGGTGTCAGGGAGAGACCCAGCAGCATCAGTGGGGAGGACGCTAGTCACCGGCTTGCTCTCCCTGCACTCCGAGCTCCTCCCAGGCACCATCCCATACTGCAGACACTGGAACACGAAACACTCTGTTTCCAGTCTTCCTCTGCAGGTAGCCATCCAGACGGGATTAGGTTTGGCCAATCAGATACACCGGTATGAGTCCTCAATTTAGAGCCCAGTTAGGTGGGGGGAGCGGCAAGGCACGGAGTCTTTAGGTGGCTGGCTCTGCCGTGGGAGGTGGGAGCACCGCCTTCCCGTCAGAGAGCACAGTAATTCCACGAGCTGGCATCGCTCCTGGGAGCTTTGACCACTGCTTGCCCAGCGCTTCCAAGTGTTCACAGGCCACTGAATACCTGATTATTCCTCCCCTCCTGTTCCAGCTAGCTAGAGGGATTCCCATTGTCTGAATCGGCCCAGACAGTGGCAGACCTGCCGTGTTCGACACCCAGAGTGGATCATTTCTTTAATGCCCTCTTCTATGGGACAAAATTATCTTCAGTGGTAATCCTGTAATAAGCAGTCATTACTATTATTCTCCTTATTCGTTAGTTTTTTTAAAACAATCACAGGAATAAACTTCAGTTTTAGAGATACTATTCAAAACCAAACATTTCCTGTATGAACTAATTGGCATTTATGCAATTTTATACACTAAGACACCAAGTGGTCATGTGGAAGGACAGAACTGAATTAACTCGGGTTTTGTTTCTTGGCTTTACGATCACTGTGCTGTTACTGCTTATCTACTGTTTAAAAGCAGGAAAACCTAAGTACTGGGGGGGCTGCAGACATAAGTTGTGCCTGAAGCCAGCTCAAACCATCCCGGACCGTTCTTCCTGGGAGTTCTCCTAATTAACTTTCAGGTGGGATAGACTCTATATTAAAGGACAAGTAATAAAATATGCTAATTTGAAGGATATATGTATATTTATATATATACATTTATGTGACTGTATATAATTAAAATTCAACAGTCACCACAGCAATTATTTAGAACATGGACCAACAAAAGATTTTGGGGAAGGAGTATTTTATCACTGACATTGTTTAGAATTGCCAGCATGGGGATAATAAAAAGCAGACTGACTTACAGTCGATTTTATTATTGGTTTTAAATTCTCAGCAGACAATGCAGCCCCACACCACAGGCAGCAGCTAGGAGATCTGCCCCTGCGGCCTGTGCCGGTGCCCCTGCCCTGAAGTGAGCAGGCAGGGGTGAGCCTGAGAGAGCCTGACCCCGAGCGTGAGGGCTCAGGAGGGCCATGGGGCATCAGGGGGAGAGCCTGAGACACCAGGGCCTTCACCACACATGCCGAGGGACTCAGCCAGAGACCCTCCTGACTGCCCAGATCCACAGATATTGCTAAGGCGGAAAGATCCCCTCACAGACTGCCTTTGGTGAGGAGGAATGGAGAGCCCCAAGCCCTGTTGAAACACTGGTGCCCGATTCTCGGGAGTGAGGTGACTCACCCACCCGCATATGATGGAAATGTGCATCTCAGCATGATTAAAAATCACTTCATGCCATGAGCCCTTAAGGGCACACACAAATAGTTGAATCTATAAATGTTAACTCTACCGATGCCAAAATTCCACTTCCATCTAAACCCCCAAATTTCCTTGATTGGTCAGGCAGATGAGCTGCACACCAGCGTGTTCGGGAGAAGGGGGTCAGGGAGGGTGAAGGCCTCCAGCAGAGGCTCAGCCACCAGGCCAGGCAACGACCCAGGCACCGTCTTTAAGGAAAGCACCTTCTCTCTCTTCTCCTCTGAATTGTAGCCACCCCAGAGGTAGCAAAAGCGCTCTGAGGGAAGAGACCGAGGTGCTGTCCGGGCCCTGTCATGGTCCCCAGAGGTACAAGTCTGATGCAAGGCTAACATCCCAGTTCCAGGGAGAGTCCAGTTCGTCTTTCCACCTTCAGATGACGGACTTTTAACACAAAGGTACAGACTCACCGGGGAAAGAGGACAACACAAGTGGGTATTAATGCAGGCCCCCGAGGCCCCCTGGGAATTGAGGGGGACGCTCCCCTAGGACAAAGAAGATAGCAGTTACTCACCACCCCCGGAGGGCACTGTGCACTGGCAGAAAAGATGCACGTCTGCATCGCCTCACACCGAAGGACCCACAGGATGTTCCGACCTCTCTCGTCTGGGCAGCAGCAGTGGGTCAGATGTGTCTGCAGGTACCGAAGACACAGCCATGGCAATAGGCCTCTGTGCCACTAGCAGCCCATCCTGCCGAGCCAGAGGATGCTGTTTTATAATTAGAACTGGCAAGCAAGGCAGGGCCATTCGAGCACATGGCTAGCTAGTGCCCAGGTGTGTGGGAGGGGGTACGCCCTGGCTCATGCATTTCAAACAGCGCCCTGGCATCTAAACTCAGATTGCAGCCTCTTGTCAAGTAGTGTCAAGCCAGCCTTATATCTAAGAACTACAGGCCTTAATTACTCCAGGGAACAGTCTGGTGATGAAACAAAGAAAGGCTTGTTACAAAGGCCCCGTTGTTGAAAGGGCCTTTGCCTAGATTGCTCCAGGCACCCCTTATACCCGTCACCATCCGGGTGCTAGGAAGCAGTACCAGTCAAGTAACTTCTGTGGGTTTTGGAAGACCTATCCTCAAGTCTCACATTTCCTGGCTGTGTGATCTGTATAAGCCACAGATCCATCCCAAGCCCCAGTTTCCTTATCCATAGAATGGACGTGATCAGTGTGAACTTGACCCATGTGATTCCAGGCCCTGGGCCTGAGTGCTGCAGGGTTGGTGGAGGTGCCAAACACCCCCGGCCATACCCCAGCACTGCTGAGCATTATTTGTGCCCTCCACAGGCAGGCAAAATCGAACAGTCCTTCGAATGATGTCCCACCCCTCCATCCCCCAGCACAGAATAAACACGTAGAATAAGTAAGAGAATGTCTTTGTAGTGCATATTTTTTCTTTTTCCTATCAGGGATCCACCACTCTTGGGGAAGCGGTGGCGGGGGTGGGGGCGGGGGCCAGTGTGCAGAAACCCACCTCCTACTAGGACAGCCAAGGAAGTATGTGCTGTTCCCTCTTCTCATTCTGAAAACAAAGAGAGGCAGGCAGGTGATCAGCCAGGCCAGGCCAGATCTCCTGCCCTACACTTGGAATCTCTAGGGAAGGTGTGAGACAGAGGTTCAAGGAAGATGAAGATTCTTCCTGATGTCGGTAGAGTCAAGAGACCAAGGCCCTGAAGCTGTGTCCAGGAGGAAGGGACATTGCGGGCTCCTAGCCCACTGTTTCTGGGGGTGGACCTGTGCTGTACTTTTGCTGCCCCAGCCCTGCACTCCTGCTGCTTCTCCAGCCTCCTGTCTATTCTGTGAGCTACTAGATGGATAGCCTTCTGATACATTCCCTTTCTGCTCATGTTGACCAGATTTGGGCTCTGCTGTTTGTAACCAAGAGTCCTATCTCATACATACTGTGAAAGATATGGCCAGGGAGGAAACTATCCAAAACACAGAAAAAAAAATATTTTAATCTACCTACACAAATATCACAACATGATTTAAAACTGTGAAAATGAGGGGTGCCTGACTGGCTCAGTTGGTTGAGCTTCTGACTCTTGGTTTTGGCTCAGGTCATGATCTCAGGGTCCTGAGATCGAGCCCTGAATCAGGCTCCACACTCAGCAGGGAGTCAGCTTGAGATTCTCTCTCTCCCTCTGCGTGCATGTACACTCTCTCTTTTTATCTCAAATAAATCTTTAAAAAAAATGGAACCTTTAAAAAAATAAAACCATGAAAATGGGAAAGAGACTCATACCTGACTGTAGTGACATGGTAAATGAACTGATTCATTCACTTGGAAAAGTAAGCAGTCATTAGAATAATGGGTATGAAGATGACATCACAATAAGGCAAGTGCTCATGAGATGGATTGACAAGTGAAAACAGGGTAAGAAATTTTATGTACCAGACAGCTGACCTTCCTCCCCTCAGAATATAAACTCCCTGGGGTTAGGATTTTTTAGTCCATCTTGTTGAGGGTCCTACCTCAAGGCACTGGCAATAGTAGGCACTCAGCTAATACTTACAGATTCAGTGAATGAATGAATGAAATGAACAATGATCTATCTGCACAGGGGAGGGATGGAGCATCGTCAGATGCTCTTAGCGGCTGTT